ACAAGGAGATTAAAACATAAAAGAGCTAGTTAAACTGAATGAAGAATTCATGCATGCAAATTTAAATCACAGATAAGTCCATGCAATGCAATATAGCATAAAACTACAAGGATTGAGCTCAAAAACCTCATTTTCTGTAGCTTCAGCAGCGAGACGAAGGATAAGGTTTCGTGTATTAGTCTGGGAATCATCATCCTCAAAATCCTTGATAGATTTCAAAATTGGCAACTTCTTGTGAATGTCAAGAGGACGCGGTCTAAATGAGAGTCTACTCATTATCAACTGAGCTCATTCCCCACACAAAAGTCACTCTGTTCTACTCCGGCGGCTCAACCCTAAAGCCACTAAAGCAGTGGCTTTAGGCCCCAAAAAATAACCAAAATCCCCCAAATTCAGTTCGCTCAAATACCGAAGATACACAAAAAGGAAACAAATTCGAGACTAAACGAAGAACCAAAACCAGATGGAGAAGATACATACATAAAAGAGACAACCAGATCTGATGATGAAGGCGATGTAAATAGTGAGAAGCACCGTATTAACATTTGGAAGAAACAATTTACCTAAGTAGAATTTAAAAACAATTATGTATTTTTATTGTTACTATTAATTAAAACTTTGTTGCTAATCTTTACTAATTTTAAGCACATATTTTTGTAATTTTATTATTCACGTAGTTATAATTAAAAATCATACACAGTTACTTTTTTATTTCTTAATTTGTTTAATTCACTTCAATTTGAATCAATCATATTTTAATATTGATTTTGTAAGATTATCTTCAATTCTTTGAGATATTTTTTTAAACATTTCATGTTCAAATTAATTAAATTATCAAATAATTAAATTTTAAAAAATATTGTCTTGCCTTTAAATGTTTTCTAATCACTATAATATTAATTGTTGTAATTAAAAAATTTATGAAATATTATATAACTAAAAAAATGGTACTTTAATTGACATATTCAATAAAGTGAAATCTTAATTTAATTTTTACATACTTTTAGAATAATTTTGATAGTTCATGTAACAAATGATTTTATTGAAAAAGTTTTCAAAATTATAATGATTAAAAAAGATTTAAACATTTGTGTTGATATGTAATGTACAATACTCTATATACGTCTATTCTTGTCTTACAAATATTACAAGAAATGTTATGCCATCAATTGAAAAAAGAAAAAATAATTATTAAATTATAGTCAATTACAATATATTTTTTAGAATTTATGAGAATAATATATATATACGTAACTTTCTTTTTTAAATTTTGGCTTTAAACCGCCTATTATATTAAGTCTCCCCGAGCTTATCTAACTCACACAAATAAAAGAAAACAACAAAGTAGTTCATTTTAGAATTCAATAATTAAGCAGAGTCCGAGTAGTCCGAGTCAAATCAGTGAGCCGTGCAAGAAAACATTTTCGGAGGAATGATGGAGGACGGATAAAAATGGAGAGTTAATCCAGAAGCTAGACAATTTAAATGGGTTTTGGATATCTGTATGTACATTTAATATAGGAAAAATTACATAAGTGAAGGTCTTTTATTTAATAATTACCGTTTTTAAGTATAATTTTAATTTATTACCATTTTTGTCAACTTTTAGCAATAGTTACTTAAAACAATTTTAAAACAAATTTGTTCCTTTTCATGTAATTTTTAAACTAAAGCGAGAAAAGTGTTGCCCATTTGCTCATATCCTCTCTCTCTTTTCTTTCTACTCTTCTGTCCGAAAATTTTAGGGTTTTGTTGTTCCTTCTTCCCCATCTTTCAGCACAGAATTCTAATGGAAGAAGAAGGAGGAGCACGAAAATCGCCTAGAAGAAGTCCGCGGATACTTAGTGATGTTGGTACTTTGAATCAGAAAGTTTATAGAAGGAGTCGAATGAGAGGTCAAGTTTCATCTCCTACTGATGAAGTTAATGACTGTCCCAATTTTAGTTTGGGAATCTCACAAGAATCGGGTGAGCAAAACAAGGGTGAGCAGAACAAGGAGGAGCAGAACAAGAAGCAGAACAAAGGTAAAAAACGAGTTAAAGAGGTGAACAATGTGAAGAAATCGAAAAAAAGATGCGTTGATTTAGCATCTACGTCGAAGAAAATCGTGGACTGTGATGACGATTTTGAGGATTTACCTCCTCAATTTCAATAAAAAAAATTAAAAAATAAAGATGGGCCGGAGAAGAAGAAGCCAGTGAAGGATGCAAAAACACGAAATCGATTGCCCAAAAATGTCATTCTACCAGAGAGTAGATATCCGGTATGTGATAGTATTTTTCCTAGTTAGTTGTTGTTTTAGGAATGATTGTATACTGATTATTGCCTTGATTTTGAGATCTAGTATGTGGAATTCACCTTTAATTCAACTTTAGTATGTAGTAATACAATTTTTTTTAAACACTCAAATATGAATGTGAGATATCAAGTTAGGATGTGTTGACACCCAATTTTGGACATCCACAATAGGAATTAATTTTTGAACTTCATTAATTTCAAACAATTAGGAATAATTAATTTTATAAAGAATTCAAATATATTTCAAGTCACTTTTTAGGTAAGTTTAGTCATTTTATGATCTCTAAATAATATATACGTTTTACATAATTATTATATTTTGATAAGTATTCGAAAACCGCGTCAATAAAAATTTTACTTTTACATAAATATCCTACTAATTAGTTTATCTATATAATAAATAACTTTTTTTTTTAGTCGATTAGTTTATAACTAAGTTAATTATTTTATTTCGTTGAAATTAAGAAGCTCGCTAATTAATTCGTCTTGGTCAAGTTTTAACTAAATTCATTGATTAAATTTTGATTTGACTACAATCTAATTTTATTTGAGGTTATACACCTAATTAATTTATTTCAATCCTTAAAAGACCAATGTTGGGCCTGCTTACTTCTTTTTCAGCAGTCCAAGTTAAATTTCCAGCAACCCAGACGACCCAGCCCATTTTTTTCTCTCCAACCCGGCCCAATTCTATTCTAAAGAGACCCAGCAACATTATTCCAGAACGTTAACCTCACAGCAGTAGCTCACGGCAACAACAGCTTCCAACGGCAACAATGATTCCCAAACGCCAGCAGCTTCAACGTCCACAAATACACGGAAAGCAACTCACGACGTCAATGGTACAGCTTTACGGGTCTTACTCCTCTGTCAGAGCAGCTCGAACAACTTTGCACCTACCACAGCCGCCTGAAATTTTATCCCTGCTCCGCGATTTCCGTCTTTTGCTGGCAAGGACGGGCGCCACGTCGTGCCTTAAGAGCAAAGAATCGATCAAAGCCGTCAACGTCTATTTCAACTTTTGGATTTTGGCTGGAAATTTGGATTTCCTGGCAACAACAACTTCTGCCCGTCCTTGGGAAGAGATTTTGAACTTTGAAATCGATTGGGAATTCCATTTGTACCCCGACCCTTTTCCTAATTTTCGACTTTTTCCCCCAAAATCCGAACTCGATTGTTCTCCCTATAAAGTCCCTTTGTTCTTCATTTGAAAGGAAAAAAAGATCAAGAGTAAGCTATGTATTGAGAGGAAAAAATATATCTAAAACAAAAAAATCTTTGAAATTGTTCTTGATCGTTTTGTCTCGTTCATTCGAGTTTCTCGGAGTTGTGTTTCGTTGGAAGAATCGTTGCCCTCCTCAGCTCGTTTGTCCTAGTCTCGCTGCCCCGGAAAAGGTAACGCTCTTCCCTTTACCATACTCTTTTCGCCTTTGCTATTTTTGACATGACGGTATTCGTTGTAGTATGTTTCTGTCCTTCGAGTTCGTAATGTCTTAGTTTGAGACCTCTTATAGAGTTATTTTAGATGACTAAATTTAAGCTCTAAGTTTTGGTGTGTACAATTCTTCGATTGTGAATCCTTATACTCATCTAAATTGATTCGTATATTGCTCGATAATCTTACTCGATTTTTTTTTTGTTTTATTTGCTTAGTATGAGTTCTCTTCATGCTCATTTGGTCTCCAGTACTTAGAATATTTTTTTTCCCTGTATATTCCCTGCTCAATATATGTTATTATAATATGCATTCAAATACTTCTCGTGTATTCTTTCTACTTTTGGAAGCTAATATGCTTTGCATGTTTAGATGTAGCATGATTATTTGAACTAGTTAATAGAAATCTTTGAAGGTGAAGCCTCTCCATTCTGTGAAGATAATGAACTAGTCGACTGTTCGATTTAATAGAAGTCCGAGATAAGTCTTTTTGGATTTGAATGTAGTTGTTTGAGTTAGATCTTTAACGAGGGTTCCAGTTCGCTAATTCTTATCTAAATCAATGAGTTTAACCTTATTTTAGGAGCATGTTATAGGTTGTTTCTTTCTTGGTCTAGCATATAGTCAAGTCACTGGTTTGCTTTTTTTTTTTCTATCTGTAATCGCTTGGAATTAGAGGTTGTTGTTTCTAGTATGTATTAAAGCTATCGTATGTCCGTTCTTAATCATTTTTTAGTTGATGAACTGCTACCCTCGTTTAGCATACTTTTGATGATATGTGTTTTGACATGGAGTTTTCCTTTGGTATAGTAGTCTCTTTCATTGCAAACTATAGTCCTTCATAAGATATATATTTTTGTGTGTCCTTCATGATATATATATTTCTGTGCATCCTTCATGATTATTTCGATTCCTCGCGATCTGCGTAAATTTGTTTCCTTATGATCAAGTGATATGGAACTTTATCCATTTAAATTTAGCTTCAGATAAGCCATTTGGTTTTATGTTTTCTAAGTTAAGTTTAAAGCCATAATCTTGTTGCTCCACTATCCTTTATTTATTTGTTCTTTGGCCTTAGTCTTCATTTAGTTGGAGTCATTGTTTTCAATGTTACCCGCGTCTAATGTGCCTTTGATGATGTATATTTGGATTGATTAGGATTCTTATGTAGTAATTCTGCCTCGTGGTTTATATTTTCTGCCCATTAGCCCTTTTATTTGTGTGTTGACATGTGTTTAGCTTTATTGTTACTAAAAATCAAGAATAGAATTGCTTTTGGTTTTTTTTTTGGGGTCTTGAAATAATCGAAAGACTTTTATTTCAATTAAATTATGTCTCATTTGCTAATTGTATCTCTTTTGCCATTTTGCTGCATGGCACCTTGCCCGAGTCTCTTGTGGACCTTCTTTCCTCTTTGCATTTCCGAAACAAGCCATAGAGGCTCGAATCTCTTTACCGAGTCGGCCCTCATTCTTAGTTAAACCGTTGGAAGCAGAATTACAGGTTGAAGTCAGGTTGCAAAATCTCAAAAAGCCCAAAAAAGGGGGCTTTATACATGTTATATACGGAAGTATACACTGATATACAAGTTCGGTACAGCAAACACAGGCCAAAAATGCGAAAATACAGGGCTGAGGAGAAATATAGGTGTTCGGAAGCAAGAGATACATGAAAAGAGCCTATGCACACGCTGATATACACTGATATACATCAGCTGTATACCAAAAACGGGAATTGGGTTAAGCCCAAAAATTCCAACAAATTTGGCCCAAAAGGAGGCCCAAATTCATTTTCTCTCTTACTCGTTAATTATTTAATTGTGATTATTTATTGTTTGTTATTTAACTCTAACTTTATAATTTTTAATTAACTTAATTAGATTCCCCAAAAGATAAGTTATTTCCTTTGTGTTGGTTAACTTTTAATAATTTTTATATTTATTTTATCTATTTTAAATATGTTGGCCAAATTATACAGTTTAAGTTAAATCTTTTGTCCTAAAAAATAAAAAATAAAAAAATAAAATAACAACATATTCTTTAATGTCTCCCGCTCAATCACTTTTTACTCGTTTAAAATTGGTTTAAAGGGTCAAATTAAAGTATTTATTCCTCAAGTAAGCTAAAAATAAAAAATAAAAATAAAAATAAAAATAAATAAATAAATAAATATATATATATATATATATATATATTCTTTGCTTGGTCATTTTCTCAAAAAAGGATTAGTCAAAACTTTGCTTTCATTCTTCAATTAATGATTTTCATGCTTAATTTTAATGGCTTAAATTATTTATTTTGAAAATGAGTCAAATAAATTCTAATTAATCTAGTTTTATTAAAATTCTAATCACTTGTATTTCGAGTCAAATGTATCATTTTGGATCCCTTCCTCTAAAAATAAAACGAAATAAAATGCATCATTTATTTAATTATTTTCTAAATCAAATATATTATAAGTTATTATTATTTTTATGTTAAATCATTTTTTTTTATAAAGAAAATAGTCAAATATATTTTAGTCAAGTCACAAGTCAACCGCACGTTAGCGGACACTTCGAATGCTTAAACCCTTCTCGAAGTGTAAATTGAACCCCGAACCCCCTTTGGTATTTTCAAATGATTTTTTCTGTTTAAATCTTTGAAAATTATAAGTTTTCTTAATTTCTTTAAAAATTAAGTGGCGACTCTTTTCTAAGTATTTTTTCTCAAATTGTTTTATACTTAGAACATCTCAAAAAAGTGATTTTTCTAGAAATAGTTAAATTACGACACAACAGGATGCATAGTGTTGCAGTGTTAGCTAGTTTGAGATTGAGTCCTGCTGTCTTGAATCTATTAGTAGCTTTATATCTCAGGTTTAAGGGATTGTCATCTGAAGAAATGGCAGGAAGTGAATAGAGCAGGTTTTGCATTTGTTTGATTAATAGGGTCACCTAAATAAAGGGGAGGGATAAATAGGATTCTGAGTGCTGACCCTAACTAGTTTGGGATTGAGTGTCCTAGTGTCTTGAATATATTAGGAGGTTATATATCGGGCTCATAATGTTGTTCTTAAAAAGTGGCAGGAAGCAATATGAGCAAATGTTTCATCATATATTTGAAGGAGGCGGGGTGTGTGGGAATTATGTACATGACTATTTCAATACTCTTCCAATGAAGAGCAGTGCTATAGCAAGAAGCTAGCAGTCACTTTGAATTTGACATTTATGTTTTACTTAATTGCAAAATATCTCCTCTTTGTCCATTGTTTTGTCTAGAATTAGTGGGAGCTTGTCAAATAGCTGGTAACACTTGTTCGTGTTAATTTGGAAAACAGATGGAAAAAATGTGTAAATGAGAGGACACATCATATATTTTGGAGTAACATTGTTTCATGTTCTATCTGATCTTTTCTCCCGCACTCGAATGTTTTGTTCCAATGGATAAAGTGGAAATGTAGGTTTAAATTGCTTTGGAAGTTGGTTTTTCGATATAAAATAGAGCTTTAAGTGTATGACAACTAGATCATTGTTTAGGCTGCTTGTGTTGAAGTTGATAAGTTCTGGGTTTGGATTTTGGAACCAGAAGTGGTCATCGGTGTAATTCATCTTTAATTCAACTGATTACTACCTTGCTTTGATACATAGTATGTGAAATTCATCTTTAATTCAACTTTAGTATGTAGTAACACAATTTTAATTCATGTTTAATACATATGCAAGATCGTAAATTCTGGAAACATCTGGATATTGTGTATATTTCGAGTAGGTGGTCATCTTACAATAATCATAGTGTCATCGACCAAATCAAACTATCTTTATCTGATAAACAACTTGAGTTATTCAGGAATACATGTTTTGGTTACTTTTGCAAAGAGTCATCTACGTGCGTTGTTTCTAGCTAAAAAATTCCTAGATGATGACTCAGCTGTTTCATTGGTTGTTCTCTTCTTCATTAATGATTTTTTATTTTCATATGAGGACAACGAATACCAAATTAGTAATAGAGATTTTTACCTTGTGGAAAGTGGACAATTCAATTCATATCCGTGGGGTTTAGATGTCTACAAAAAGTTGTATGATTCTGTGAGACATGAGCTTAAGTCAACCCATAAATACTATAGATTGGGTGGCTTGCCTCTTGCTCTTCAAATTTGGATATTTAAGTGTTGTTCAAAAGTTGATGAAGATATAGCTATTCGGGTTGCTGACTCAATTCCAAGAATCTTGAATTGGAAGACAATTGCCGAAAGTCCATGGCAAAAATATATTGAGAAATGTCTCTTCATGCCTACAAAAAATAAGGTATTTGTACAAAGTTAATACATTTTATGGCATTGTTTAATTCAACTCAAGTTACTATATCTATTTTTATTTTGTTTATTTGGTTTTTCAGTTTGAGAACGTAGTGGCTAGTGAAGATGAAGTATCTAAATTCAGGCTTCCTGAACCTCGTGATTATAATGCTGAAATTTTGAAATTGGAGCCTAAAGGATCAAGTCATGGTCTAGACATGTTGACTAATGAAGTTATTGAATTGAGAAAAGAACTTGTAAAGGTATATACAAACTTGACTTTAGGCTCTTTTTTTCCAGAACTTTTATATTTTATTTTTTGTGTTATGGTTTAATATCTACTAGGTGAATGAAAATAACGAAGCACTTGAAGAGAAGATTGATTTAGGATTTAATCAAATCAAAGAATTTGTGGTGAATTCTAACAAACAATTATTAGAGGATATTTCTTTGTTGTTTGCTAAGAGTGGCGGTAACAACTCTGTTATCAGAGAAGTCAGGGAACCATCTAAGAAGCAGGCTGGCGAGACGTTTTCGGGTGGATTAGATTTCAATGGAGGTTTCTTTATATTTTTAATACATTTCTGTTATAGTCATAATATACTTTTAATATGTTTTTCTTATAATATGTGTTAATTACATATACAACATTCTCTCCCTATGTTAATGCATCTGTAAATGAATCAAGAGGGCACGATGCTCATGTTATGAGATCAAATCAAAATGAAGAATCTCAACTGCTTAAAACTTCAGTTAGATTTGTTGACATTGAAAACTTTGAAAGAGTATCAAGTAAAATAGGTAATGAAGGGTTTTATACAAATATATTACATATTTCATATATGTTAATTCAACTCTTTTATTTTAAATGTTTTTGTTATGTACAGAGGAAGATGTTGCAGGAATTGCTATTGAAAAAGTTTTGTCAGAGGTTGTTGCTGATATAAATGGTATTAATTTTCTTCACTTCAAATAAACTTCTTTCATTTTATTTTAATAACATTATTAAAATATTTACTTTGCTTACAGTCCAAGAGGTTGCTGATGTGAATACAGTTGGGGCGCAACCTTATGGTAATGTAGTCAACAAAGCCAACATAAATAAGTGTTGCATCTGTTGATTGTAAATTAATCAATATTTCTATTGTATGCAGATGCAACATATGATTGTCAAAAACCTTTGCATACTCTTGATGATTTTATTTTTCTTGATGAAGATCTTTCTCAGATCAATAGGACTGAAGAATCTTATCTAAAGAAAAGAGCCCCTGTTGATCAAAACAAAAAGAAAGTGAGACCGAAGAAACATGGCAGAAAGTAAAATCTAGGAAAATTAATAACATCTCCCTACACACAACATTTCGAATCTGGAGAAACTTTATGTGTAACACGTCAGTTTTTTGAGACAAAACATCCTTTTCATATGCAACTGGAGGAGATAATGAATCGGATTTGATCGATTCATTCATTAAGTGGCTTTATATGGGTACAAAGAAGAGGTAATTCATTTTGAAGTTTGTTGGTTAATTTGTTACTATTGAATAACTTACATAATTCATAATAGATACAAGTTTAATTCAATCTATAGAACTCTCTCGTTACCTCTAATTCACAATAGATACAAGTTTCTTAATTCACTCTTCTTTAGTTTCCTTAGTTACCTCTTTTTTATTTGTTGCTGTCTTATTTCCGAGTATTTATGTTTTGAGAGGGGAAAGAAACCTTATACAGATTCTCTTAATGTTATCAGTCCAGCATTTGAATTAGGTATTTGTAATGTAGCAGAAAGACACTGATTTTTCAAATTGGCACATTCTGGATAAGAATGGTATAATGAGGTTAGTTGTATAAAGTTTAATTGGACATCAATATTTGTTATTCATAACGCTTGCCATTCTAGGAGTCATACTACCTCTGCTGTTGAATTTCCTGAATGATTTGTCTAGTGAGCACCTTTGTTTTCCTTTCCTTGGGTTGAAAAATTCTGTAATTTCTCTCTTGCCAT